GCAGGAGCAGTGCCCCAGTGCCGCTGCCGGCCAGGCAGCTCGCTCAGAGCTAGTTTAGATACCTCTGCTCTGAGGCACATACATCACCCTAACCTATGCTGGGCTGCAGGACCATAAGTAATTAAGAGCATTAGAAAACATTTAGAAAGCTTTGTTTTGCTGAGGAACGGACTGTTAAACAACATTCATGTCAGGGAAAAGTTTTATCCCCTATAAAAATCACACACAAAGTTTAAAGATGGCTTCTACAACTTCATTTAGTTTTTTCAGCTTGAAATAAATGATTTCTACTTCATTATTTTTGACCACTTATTACGAGAAATGTTTCCAATTGATTCTTCCACCTCAAATGTGGAGACACTGGTACGGGATATAGTGTCTGCTACCAGCACAAGACTCAGATCCACTCACCAAAGCTGTAAATCCCTTCCGTTTTGTGTTACTAGAAGTAGTACCTATATTCCAAGTGGAGCTTAAACCCTGGTAGGCACCTAAGCATGACACAGCTGCTCACTCACTACCCCCCAGTGGGACAGGGGAGAGAATCAGAAGGGTAAAACAAAGAAAAGTCACGGGTTGAGATAAAGAGAGTTTAATAAGGTTAAAAAAAAAAAAAAAAACACACACAAAAAAAACCCCAAAACAAAAAACCAAACCACAACCAAAAAACCCCAAACAACCATCCAAAAAAACCCTCCAAACAAAAACCCCTGAAGCGATAAAAGAAAACCCAGATGCTCAACACCAGCCACCTGATACCCAGCCAGTCCCTGAACAGCAGCAGTCCCGGCAAACTTCCCCCCGCCACCTCCCCGATTTTATTGCTCAGCAAGATGTGATACTGTCTGGGATATCCCTTTGGGGTCAGTTGTGTCCCCTCCAAACCTCTCTCCCACTCGCTGGTGGGGTGGTGTGAGAAGCACTGCTCAGCAAGAACTAAAACATGCCTGTGTCACCATCACAAATCCAAAGCACGGCACCACTGTACCAGCTGCTGTGAAGAAAATTCCGTACAACCTTCACGACAGTGAGATCTATCAGGGCTATGCATTAGCCTCATCCTCATCAGAAGAGGACACCTTGCACAGACAACAGGGTCACAAGGAACCGGTCCTTCTCTGATACACAGCATTAGCTCCTTTCGTATCCACACTGGGTTTATTGCTGATTTTCACCCTAACTGCTTGCGTTGGCGCCACTCAAAGCTGCCAGCTCTCCCAGTGAGGTTACAGATCTGTCCAGAACCACTCCAGCCTTGGCAGATAGCACTGAATGTCCCCGCTCCTCTCCTTCCTCTTCCCCTCCTCTTCTTTTAAGGGTATCTGCACCTTAATGAGCTCCAGGAGGAAGTTTCCTTTTCAGGAGCTCTTAAGTTGACAAAGAAAATAAATTCCTCCAGCACAGCACCCGGTTCCTTCCACCAACGCTCTCCCTACCCCTTTCCAGGAGCGCCATCGAGGCTGCCCACCAGACTAAAGACAACTTTTTACACTGATACGAAATAAATCCAAAGTATATGTTTGATTCTACAGGAAACAAGACTAACAGCCATGTTTCTTCCTTAAGTTAAGGGACTGGCATAATATTTTACTTACATCAACAGAAAGCATACATCACAAAAGGTTAAATGTGAACATTCAACGTAATGACAAGTATGACATGGAAAAGCAGTTACCTATCGCTCGTGAACGTGAGTTAAACCTTTCAGAGAAACAGCACTTATAAAAAATTCAAAAGGCTCCTTAGTTCACGAGTAAAATTTAATCCATACAAAAGAAAAGTTAGATTAAGCTAAGGACAATCTAACAAGCTTTTGAAAGATCTTACTGTCCTATTAGCTAATCTAAAAAACCCGAGAATATTGGCTGACGGGTTGGGCTCAAAGAGTTATAGTACATGGGGTGACATCAGGCTGGTGGCCGGTCACCAGTGGGGTTCCCCAGGGCTCAATTTTAGGGCCAGTGCTCTTGAATGTTTTTATAAATTATATAGACACAGGAGTTGAATGTACATTAAGTAAGTTTACCAACAATACTAAACTAGGACTCCCTCAAGGGTAGAGAGGCCTCACAGGGAGATCTGGATAGACTGGAGAGCTGGGCAACCACCACACCTATGAAATTTAACAAGAGCAAGTGCCAGATTCTCTACCTGGGATGGGGTAATCCTGGTTATACCGACAAACTAGGGGACAAGAGAGCAGCCCCCCAGAAAGAGATCTGGGGCTTTGGCTCGATGGCAAGTTGAACATGAGTCAACAGTGTGCCCTGGCAGCCAGAAGGGCCAACTGTGTCCTCGTGCATCAAGCACAGCATAGCCAGCCGGTTGAGGGAAGTGATTGTCCCACTCGACACTGCACTGGTGCAGCCCCAGCTTGACTACCGCGTGCAGTTTTCGGCGCCTCAATATTAGAAGGACATCAAACTGTTAAAGTGTGGCCAGAGGAAGGTGACCAAGATGGCGAAAGGTCTTGAGGGCAAGACTTAACGAGGAGCAGCTGAGGTCACTTGGTTTGTTCAGCCTGGAGAAAAGAAGGCTGAGGGGTGACCTCATGGCAGTCTCCACCTTCCTCAAGGGGGGCAGCAGAGGGGGAGGTGCTGGTCTCTTCTCTCTGGTGACCAGAGATAGGACACAGGAAATGGAATGGAGCTGCGCCAGGGGAAGTTCAGATTGCACATTAGGAAAAGGCTCTTCACTGAGAGGGTGGTCAGTCACTGGAACAGGCTCCCCAGGGAAGTGGTCACAGCACCAACCCTGTCAGAGTTCAAGAAGCGTCTGGACAATGCTCTTAGTCATGTGCTTTAGTTTTAGGTAGTCCTGCAAGGAGCAGGGAGTTGGACTCAACGATCCTTATGGGTGCCTTCCAACTCGAGATATTCTATGATTCTAAGCTTAGGTCTTACTTTACAGGAAAAGCACTTGAAAAATCAGATAGTTTTATCAAAGTAAATTTAATCAGGCTTCTGACTCCTAACAAACTGTACAGTAATAATGGATATTTATAATCAAAAATATATTAAACATGATTTCAGTATTATTTTCATTAGCATTTCTAACCCAAAGCAGAAACTCTGATGTAACACCCTGAAGGGTCTCGGTCCTGCAGGCAAGTAGCGAAGTGCTGTAGCTACGCTTCTGCCTCAGGGAAGACTCTGCCTGTGGTTCCATGACTGATCTCGGTAAACCAGGTTGTTGCCAGAAGGGGCGGGTCAGGTCTAGCTCCTGTGTCACAATAGGTTGCCTCTCTTCCCCTCTCTCCTTCCCCAAATTAGCATCCTGTAGGATCCGTGAGCTGATTCCCATTCACTGTGCAGCCCACACAATTCTGGGTGCCAACAAGGTAACTGGTAGGTCATCTCCTTTGAGTAATGTGAACTCTTAGAAACCAACAAATGCCAACTGCAAAACCACACCCTACTGACATTAAAACTAATCAGGTATCTCAAGAATCTGATGTAATACATATTTAATATACCATTTCAAGATTTGCATGTGTAAGATGCTGCGATACATACAGTGCCTTGCACATGCAAAATCATTGCTATTTCATTTACCTTTCTGCACACCATTATGATGAAATCTGAGAAGCTATCTTGGTAAGGGGACTGAATTCACTGATTTTTTTTTCATTTAAAAATACTGTGGACTTTGGAAACGGTGAGCTTTAGTCATTAGTCCTTTTACAGAGTTTCACGTGTTTCTAAATGCAAGTGTATACAAAACAATCACGCCTATACTTACCTCTTTGTGATTATGACTCAAATTATCCCTTTCCTAAAACGTTCACAGAAACCAGTACCTTGTTAAATGTAAAGCTGTACACAATCCGACAGGCAGGATACCATTAATGAGTCCTAAATATTTTTCACCTCCAAAAAGTAATCATGTAGCACTGGCAGCTTCTTGACTCTCCTCAACCATGAGTCGCTCTATCAGGTCAAAAGCGGCATTACACAGCATCACCTAGGTTTGAAATGATGATGAATTTGGGGCCTTTGGGTTCAACTTCACATTACACCTAATTCAAAGCGACCTGGAGTTACTAAAGAGATGCTCCTGCTGGTTTTCCTTGCCCCACCTTGCCACCCTAAATCCCCGCGCCTTCTTGATGTCGGAAGTAAAGGTTACACACAGCCTCCTAATTGTTAAAGCTGGTGGATGAAAAGTGGTGAGAAGACGTAAGGGGAGAGAGGCAGAGAGTAAGAGAAGAGACCTTTCCCTGCTCAGTGGCTGCCCGCAGTTCCACTCTGTCAGGTGGAGTCAAAAACATAACAAAGGAACCATTTAGCTGCAAATATTAAAAAAAAAAATGCAATTAATCCTACATAATACTGCTTACTAATAATGACTCACGATATGGAAAGCACCAACATTTAAAAGGCATTTGTAAAACCTGCAATCAGAGCAAAAATATAGCACTTCTTATATCAAGTAGTCAGAGTTGCTCTGGCAGTCAGAGACTAGAGATAACCCCTAGTGTGATTTTACAGAATGAATCTGAAGTTTAAAATTAATCTACAATAAATAATTTAAATCATATTTGCAAACAATTTTGCAAGTCTTCTCTTCCTATAGTATATAAGAAAACAAGACATATTTCTGCATAAGTTGAGGAATGAAGAACTGCTTCTTGTTATTTTAATAAAAAATACAGTGTTTGAAGTTACACTTATAAACATCAAAACATAAGTGTACGTACACTGGACTGAACATTTTTTTTCCCCTCGGTAACTGTGTAAAGGTTTCAAAAATAGTTTGTCACTTTACAGCATTTTTGAAAAGAAGCATCCTTTCAAAGGAATATATGTCAATGAGTACAGGTAGGAAGAATACAATTGTGGAGACCACAGTGACCGAGATAGAGCCACCTGAGCTACGACGAAGGAGCGCAGAGGCCTTGGGTTCCAATCTCCAACCGGATCTCCTCTTTCCCCGCAAAAAAGCAGATTTATGTATTATGGCATACACAACGCAGGGGATCTAAAAGCGTATTTTTGTCCTTAGTATGAGCCCTCTTTGAAGGATTCCGATAGATCTTGATTGGCAGCATCGTACTGAGCAATGAAATGTTTGAGTTCTTCAATGCATCGCTCACCTATTTCATGCAAATTCTGCCTCAGGGCAAACTGAATGGATTTCTCTAATGATGGATCTTTATCAATTAGCATCTTCACTACCATGCCAAAGGTTTCACAGTCTTGTCTGTAGACCTGGAAACAACACATTTTAGAAAACGATTAAATGCACAACTCTTTACATTAGCACACCAACAGCCCTCATTGAGTTAGGTGCTACTGCAGACCCCAACTAAGAATATTGGCTTCAACTCGAGTTTGAACTGTAAGAGGAATTTGCCTCTTCCGCTCTTCTGACCTGTGCTAATACAAACGTAAATAGTTCAGAACTATCTGGACACAGGAAATAATTCTTATTGGAAGCAATACCTTAAAAAGGGTTATTAAGTTCCTCTTGCAGCAACATTTAATAAATAATGGCAAAGTGAAAATGCTAAACCAGATTTTCATTGCAAATATATGTAAAATTAATTTAAACGTGGTATGTCTAGCAATCTCAATCTTTATACAAAGCAACAATAACTCAGTTTGTAATCTTTCCTAATACTTCAAATACAAGTTGTATTTAAATAATTTCACCAAATTATGTTTGTTTGTCGGATATCTTTTCTCACAGAAGTCCTTGACAAATACGACTTTAATTAGTTTGACTGCATTGGTGATTCAGCCACTAAGGATAAGAGAAATCCCGGGAGCGGTTTACACAAACCCGTCTGATCTTGTACTGCAAGAAATGAAGGGTTTGCAAGTCAGTTATGTACCACAGTTGAGGAGAAATAACTTCTCGTTAGCACTGCAACTGTTTCTCAAACAAACACCTGAGTACGCTCTTAGGTGGTTTTCACAGCGAGTCAGTGGCCTTTCAATTTTTTATTTTTTTTTCCAGATTCCAGCTATGTTTGTTAATCTAAACACCCACCATAAAAGGCACTTGTCAAAGTCTTTCAACTGCCAGATGCAGCTCATTTTCACACCTCTTTGGCCAATTTCCATTTAGAAAATACACTGGCTTTTTGAATGAAGGTAAGTTTTATATCTCTGTACATTTTTTAGAAGAAAAAAAAAAGCTAAAATGTTGATATTCCTCAAAGTATAATTATCTTTTAGTATTGTGTGCTTGTGTTAGAACTTGTTTTTTTACAGAGATATGTGACCCTTTCCTCTCACATTTATCTATATTGTGGACACGTGATACAACTGTATATAAGCAATTCCCTGTTAGTAAAAAGAGAAAGAAAATAAACAAACCAAAAACCCTCAAACACCACCACCGAGGGCAGCTCAAGCATATTCATGTCAGAGAAGCAGGAAAAAAGAAGCAAACACCCAAAACATTCTGTGCACAAATTAAACTATTGTCTGAAACACAATGATTTAACGTGATACCTTTAATAAAGATAGTACTCAAATGTTTGATAGTATATTCTATAATAGTAGTTTAAAACAAGACCTGCTTTTCAAACACTGGTGGCAAATAAAAGCGAACCTTTTGGAAGAAACTCATTTTCAGTAGAGATTAAGACGTCAAAAAGAAGAGTGCAGCCCAAAACAAACTGAAGCAAAACATCTTAAGTGTGGAAATGGTGCATACGTGGCAATTTTTCTAGGAGGGAGTTTGTTTCCTGCTTTGTATGTTCAGTTCTTTGGTAGTAAAATACCAGCATGAAACCCAGACTCTCAGAGTTCATGTTCCACAGCAAGTCAAACACGGTACTTGCTAAGAGAACTTCAATCAGAGCAAATTTGGGTTTCTTTTTTTCTAACTCTTTCCAAGGAAAAAGCTCAGGAAGAATTGCTGTCTCTGATTAGCCATATGACAGGCAGATGGTATTTCACTTTGGATAACCCGTGGCTTTCAAGTACTTGCAGCATGCTTGCTAGCACCTTCAGAGCACGATTTCTGAAAGGTTTTTTTCTCCCCAGAGCCATTATGTTTCGGGGAAAATAGTTCAAAACTACTTTTTTTTTTTTTTTCTTCTTCTTGCATGTCTATTTGTCCTCTTTTATCACCTTTGAAGTGGTCAGACCAAGGATGTGTGAATGATCTTCCACAGGTCAGTTTGCAGAGGACGTTGTGCAACACCGGCACGAGTGAACCCCTGACAGTAATAGAGAACACAGACACGTTGCCCCGTCTTCTGCACGGGAAAGCACCCGAAGCTACAACCGAAGGAAATGCTCTACTTTTAATTGGTCTTCAAATTAATGGCAAATAGTGCTATCTGCTATTTCTCTCACACACCACAAAGAACGAACCCAAATGAAATTCTCTGACCCTCAGCATATAAATATTGGTTCAATCTAAGCACATTTTTCTTCAAAACTTTCACAAAAGACGACTTGGAGGAGAATCAAGAGAGACATCGTTGTCACTGCATCTGGAGACAGAAGTCACTTCGCTGCCACAACAGTCTGGAAACTAAACGCTTTCATACATGAAATGAACGTTTTCAATACTTTCTGACAAAAGACTTTAGGAAAAAAAAAAAAAGAATTGACCTAAAATAGGGGAAGAGGGCGAAGGTGGAGCAGGAAGGCAGTTCTAACAACAGAAAACAAAGGAAACAGCTCAGATCCTCTAACAACAATTGAGCAAGTTTCCCTCAACAAGCTTTCTACCCCAGCTGCTAGCTCTGATCCTCCTGGTGCAATCTGCCTCCTTTTCAATTGTGCTGATAAACCTATTTGTATAGCTGCGACGTAAATTGCATCACTGCGATGATCCCTTCTAAAATTACTTCCCCCCCAATTAATGGGATTCAGTCATTCAATTATAAAACCAGATGCATCAGCACAACTGAAAAAACTGTGAGCCACAGTCGTGAAGTGGAAATTACTTCATAAACCAGTTTATATCTGAAGCCAGTGAGCAACTACTAATCCTCAATGAGAAGTTACTATGCTTTGCTGAAGGGAGTAGAGACTATCAATTACAAGAATACCAATTACAGAAGAATATTAATTACAGCTTAATCAACTATTTGAAAAAGTACAATCACCTATTTGAAAAAAAACATGAAAGCACTCAAAGCTCTTGAAAAAAAGGATAGTGGCATGGTGTATTAAAATCCATCTTCTCCTAAGAAGAGGAGGAGGCTATTTCTACAAAATAAGCAGAGAATGTGATGCTTAAGGAAGAAAGAAAAGTGCAGAAAAGACTCCAAACAAGCAAAAAAAGCTCTCTGTTGGAGAAGAATACTGGAAGAACTTGTGACCCAACCAGGTTTGAAAATATCCCTAGCTTTAAAATTCCAGCTGATACTGATTTTGAGCTCAGACCATGGAAAGCTCATCTGTAAACATCTGGAACTAAAAACTGAAACTCATTCCATGTGTGGGGAAAGAAGAAATAATGCTTTTATATTGAAAAACAAGAAAGGGAATCATACCAACGACATGATTATTCTGTCTGATATATACGTCAGGTAATCCTGAAAACAGCTAAAGCCATAGGGTGATCATTTACCAAAGCCATAGCATACTTTTATTCTCTGACCTAAGCTATAGCACCAGTATAATGGAAAGAACGTGTAACACTTCAGTAAGCAGATGAAGGAGAAACAGAAACAGCTGTTCTATTCCCAAATATATAAATATATTTAGATTTAGTTTATACACACACATATACTATATATAGTCTTGATTTTCCTACAAATGAGAAGTATATAAGCTCAATTCAGTTTCTCTTTGAAGAGTTTTCCAAAATCAGCACATCTGGCATCTATGAGGTCAGAGGATCACAAATATGCCTACTTTTACAATATTCTCATAGCATTTTAGCTCTTTTTATTCTTGCACGATAACAGCATAGAAGCTCTAGCTGAGATCAACTCTTCACTGCGCCAGTCTCTGTATACACATTTCACAGAATCACAGAATCTTCAGAGTTGGAAGGGACCTCCAGAGATCATCTAGTCCAACTCCCCTGCTAAAGCAGGATTGCCCAGAGCACATTACTCAGGACTGCATCCAGGCAGGTCTTGAAAATCTCCAGAGAAGGGGCCTCCACAACCTCCCTGGGCAGCCTGTGCCAGTGCTCTGTCACCTGAACCGTAAAGAAGTTTTTCCGTGTATTTGAACGGAACTTCCTATGTTCCAACTTGTGCCGATTGCCCCTCATCCTGTCACTGGGAACCACTGAAAAGAGTGTGGCTCCATCCTCCTTCAACCCACCCTTTAGATATTTGTAAGTAGTAATAACGTCTCCCCTCAGCCTTCTCTTCTCCAGGCTAAAGAGTCCCAGCTCTCTCAGCCTTTCCTCATAAGGGAGATGCTCCAATCCCTCAATCATCTTGGTTGCCCTTCGCTGGACTCTCTCCAGCAGTTCCCTGTCCCTCTTGAACTGTGGAGCCCAAAACTGGACACAGTATTCCAGTTGTGGCCCTACCAGTGCCGAGTAGAGGGGGAGAACGACCTCCCTCGACCTACTAGACACACTCGGCTTTGTCTGGATGCAAATCTAAAGGTGAGATGCACCTGCAACATGTTAGTGAACACTCCTCACATATTTGAGAAAACTAACCCAAAATTTGCACTTAGAACTGTTTAAATATAGCTAATAGACATTTACTTCCAGATCTAGCTAGAGTAATAGAGATGTTAGTCCCTCAGGTTCGAGGTGATCAACCCCTAGAACTCAGCAGGTAGAACAAAACTTTTGAGAACTCCCTAATCTGCACCTGTGCAAAGTTTTCACAGTTAACCTCAAAGCACCATCAACAGTGACTTAAATTACAATGTATGACACTGACATGGAAGAGATGAAGGATGCCACGCATTCTCTTCTTCCAGCTCAGCTTTGGGACACTAACCTCTGACAGGGAAGAAAGAGGAGCAGAAGCAAGCATGTGGGGACTGCTCATTTCTTAAACTGCTATATCCCTCCTGCAATGATAATCTAAAAATGGTCTTGGCTTAAACCAAAGAAAACACTGAATGGCTCAACTGATGGGTGGAAAACACCATCACCAAAACTGTTGTACATCTGAACTCTGGGCGTGGATGAAAGCGTGGATGAAATTATACCTAAGTAGGGAATACCTTGATGACATGTCTACTACTCACTGACAAAGTCCACATCATTTCCTTTGTCTGCCTAGCACAGCCTCATGTTCTTCTCCAAAAACTGTTCCAGA